ACCCAGACCTACACACAATCACACACATGAGTACACAAACCCTCCCCCCAAAAACTTCATTTCATTATTCATAAGATCACACAAAGAAACAAACAACTGAAATGAGACACGTTGGCCATATATTGTACAATCCAGTTGTTCCTCTGGTCAAACATAGCAGCTCTCAGAAGCCCCTTTGAGGTTGTCTGAGGCAAATGACAACAGCTAGAGTTCCTGTTCCTCCCAAACCTTTACAAAATGTCACACTGACCCCATATCACACTATAATCAGAATAATGTATCAATATAATCGATCATACAACTGCAACATTATGTACCCATGGGGACAAGGAAGTTTGTCAGTGTCAAAATCCTGTTTAGCTCAAGGGACCATTAGAGCTCTTGGAACAGATTCAAAAAGCTTCCCGAGAACCAATACAGCAACACAGAGTGGCATAGAGGATATAAGCATAATGATAAAAGATTGTTACAAAATATGACTGCTGCAAAATACACCTTTCAGATTTCAGCACTCTCTACATTTTTTGTAATGTCAGATCCATATTTGTGTTTTCATCTGTTGCTGAAGAGTCTTTTTTTCCTCCATGAGTGCCTGTCATAAATACTGGGGTTATAAAACTCCATAAGCAAGATATTACTCTCACAGGGGCTGTATTGAAAGACCCTAGCTACCTGCCTGTTTGACTGCTTGGTAATTGGGCCAGATTTGTTAAAGGGCATTCGAACATACACACATAATCATGTTTGCAAACATATAAGCACAGGGAAGATTACATTATGTTGATTTTATTAATGAGAACAGCCAGATTTGTGTATTTTGTGCATGTAATACAGGGCTAAGGTTGTGTGTGGGTTGTTTACAAAATATGATATTTTTGTGTTCAAAATTGTGTGTGTGTGTGTGTGTGTCCCACAATCTGTACTCTGTTCTTGTAATATGTAATCACTGTCTCGAGTAAAGGGCTCATGGAAGCACTAATCTTGGCATTTATAGAGAAGATCCTAGGACTATTCAGATGTAAAACCAGATTTTACCCTCCCTTTCTTGAACAAAAATGTTTAATCTCTCACAATATCTATTTTTCTTTTGTCATCTTTCCCCTGCAAGTATCTGACTGTACATTTTCACTCCTAGTACTAGATGCATCAAGTGAGCCAAGACAATTTTGAATGCAACATATTTTATAATGTTTTAATATTAGCTTTTGATTAGAATTGTGTTGTTATAAACTAACATCTGATTCCTATTTTTAAATACTAGATGCTTGCTTTATATTTATGTTTGTGCAAAAAAAAACGTGTAAACAGTGAAGTGACAGTAAAGACAATTACTGTATGTTGCAAAAAATATTTCAAATAAATTCTGTTCTTCTGAACATTCTGTTCATTAAAGAATCCTGAAAAAAAAAATATTTCCACAAAAAACTGTTTTCATCATTGACAATAATAAGAACCATTAATAAAAATTAAGCAGCAAATCAACATATTAAAATGATTTCTGAAGGATCATGTGACACTGAAGACTGGAGTAATGATGCTGAAAATAGTGTTCCGATCACTGGAATAAATTACATTTGAAATATATTCAGATAGAAAACAGTTATTGTAATAATATTTCACAATATTTCTATCTTTACTTTATTTTTTAATCAATAAATGCAGTCTTGGTGAGACTTCTTTCAAAAACATTTAAAAACCTTAATTATTCCAAACTTTTGACCACCAGTGTATATAATTAAACAAATCATTATATACAGTAAACATTAACTTTTTTAGGCCATCTACTTTCTTTTTTTTTTCTTCTTTCTTTGGGCTGCCACTGTTGTCCCTCAAAAAATTGATGTACGTTTTGTAAAGTACGTTAAGTCCACACTTATCCCTCTCTGACAATCCCCTGAAACATCTGTTCAAGACCGACATTTGACACTCCAAACCAAATCAATCCATTTGACCTATGGAGACCAAAGAACTTGCGAAACATCCATCCCAAATCATCTCCTGTCACTGTTGAGAACCTCACAGTATTTTGGTAGAGGGTATATCTGAGTGAGCTCGACATCTGATATCACACGTCCATTTGCGAGTCCTTTTTCAATTATCCATCAAACATCCCTGACATTTCACATAATGAATGTAGGCTTTGAAATGTCATGCACATACTCAAACACGTACAGAAAATGCCAGAGAACCATACTGAGAATATTAAATGACCAAGTAGTAGAGAAAACACACGCATCCAGAATTAACACTCGCCAAGTGCCAAATGTAAGGAACAATGGGATAAAAAAAATGCCAATTGGCTTATACTGAGGAAATGGTGCCATTTGTGGTCCATTTACATTTGCATTTCTGAGAAAATGCTGAATTCTCTGTTCAACTCTTTTATTCTTACCTTTCCTTATTTTGAAAATAATGGTTTGATCTTTCTGGCATTATATTTGATGGAGTGGCTTTCTATGACAGTGTTGAATTATAATTTAGGGTTGGAATACTGACTATTGACAACTGACTTGTGGGAAGGTCTATTAAGAAAAGATCAGGGTTTATGACTGTGATATATATATATATATATATATATATATATACCTTGAAATTCTTCTCGATTTACTGTGGACATGGTCCAAAGCTGTCATTTCAAAGGGACTCCAAAGAGAAAGGAAAAATTTAAATCGCATCATATGACCCCTTTAAGCCCAAATTAAGTATTTTCTATTAACAAACCCTTCCTGAATACTTCAAAAGCCTTACCACAGCATTTAGCAAGAAAGACAGATGAGAAACCCAAATAAGACATTTCTAATTATTCTCACAGCATTTGAATTATGAAAAGACTAGTCTAAATTATGAAGATTCACTCATTCAATCAAAACAATCACTGAGCAGCAGTTTATCTTTCCTTCCTCACAGCCTCCTAATTTATGACCAGCTGTAATGCAGCTGTGACACGTGTCACTTCCTGCATGATAAAATATGAGCACGACTACAAATGAAATGTATCATGGTGATTCCTAACGGGCCTCCTGACAGATTTATATGTGACGAATTTCAGATGAGAAGGAGTAGCTATTTTTCAAAAGGCTTGATTGGGTGAAGTGTTCGCAATGATTGATCCCTGTGTGATTTAGAAACCAAAATACAGAGCTGAGAAGGCAGTAACATATCTAATACATCATTCATGGAAATAATAAATTGATGGCTGTAAACATCACTTTACACACCAATTTACTAATCTAATATAAGCATATCCTTGTGAAGACATACACCTTAGTTTAGTCCTTAATATGGAAATATTGGAAATATATACTTAAGTGTGAACTGAATATAATGTCACACTAAAAAGATGACACATAATTGCTTGTTAAGTTCAATTAAATGAAAATGTATTATAATTAAAATTGATATAAAATGCAATTAGTTGAACTTTAGAGTACTTTTGACCCACTTGAGTAGGACTTAACAAGTTTATATGTAATTTCATAATTTACAAAGGTTTTATTGTTCTTGAAATATGGTTAAAATGTACTGCCTAATATACTGACAAGTACTGAAAACTAAAATACACTTTAATGTTATTTCTATTGAAAATATTAACATTATTATACAATTAAACACTATTATATAACATTTATACAATGTACAAATATATTAACTTTAATTATAATACTGAATAACACTGAGGTTAAAATTATAATCAAGTACTTTACATGTGCTTTATTATGTTAGTCAATACATCAAAAATTACAGTGTGAAATTTTAGTGTACATCTGTAACAGTGTATATCTTTAAATCATGACCAACAACTATTAAACATGATGATTTAATAATTTAAATCATTTGATGATTTTGAGGTAAAACTTTGAATTTGACATTATTACACAGTGCATTTAAAAAAGTGTACTTAAGTGTGCTAATAAACATAGTCATAAAAGTGAACTCTCTTTGAAAGGGAGATTTAAAGGGATAGTTCACCCCAAAATGGAAATTGTTGGTAACCAAACAGTTGCTGGTAGCCACTGACTTATTATTTCATAGTATTATTATGGAATTATCATCATTATTATTATGGAAGTCAGTGGCCAACAGCAGCTAGTTCATTTTTGGGTGAACTATATTTTAGGTACACTTAAGTGGATTTTTATTTCATTAACATTATATTATCTACAATTCTTTAAGTACAGTTGTTAAAATATATATACAAAGTACTACAAATGTACTGTACATTCAATACAATTAAGCAGACTTCTTTTACACAATAGTAAGCAGCCATTTGTTCCTCTTTCCATCTGTCACAAACATTAGGTCCATCATTTTGAGAAGATGTCAACGAAGCATAGACATGCAAATAAATACACCACAAATAACCCACACTATACAAGACTAGTTAACATAATCTGCATCTATGCGTATGTTTGTTTTATGTGTTCACTCAATAAGAGTTCTCTATAATAACAGTGCTCTACTGCTATTGCACCACTGAGCTAGTGTACTGTCATTTTTAAAGTGATCATATCTAACTTTAGATTCACAATTCACACTGAGAGATCCTGAGGGGAGGCTATGATAACAACAACAACATTAAAACAAATCCTTTAGGCCCAATACTAATGATATATTGTTCATTTCTACTACATTTTCATCACCATTAAAACCACCAGTGTGATATCACAGCATGATATGTCAAACCTCACCAAAGCTCACATCTGTTAATATCTCAGTGCTTCAAGGGCAACTGAGCAATTGTTCATAATTTGATAATAGCACCAGTTAATGAAAAGTATCAATTGACCATCTGGAACCATTTTTCAATTAATTAATGGATAACAAGCAGAAATGTAATCATGTTTGTGTGCATTTTAAATATTTTGGGATTACAGAAGAAATCAAGCAATCGAGAAGAGAAGAGAAGAGAAGAGAAGAGAAGAGAAGAGAAGAGAAGAGAAGAGAAGAGAAGAGAAGAGAAGGCACGTCTCGTGGGACACTTGTCCTCAGTGGGTTTGCAGTGACTGATGTGAGCTGTATAGAGGAGAGCTGGCCGTGGACAGACTGAGATTTAAGGCAACAGTGATTAAGTGGCAAGAGCAACAGGGCTTAAAGAAAGAGAGAGATGGTATATCAGCGTATCAGTATATTAAAAAAAAACACGCTCATGCAGGGGTAGATGAAGAAATGTGCTTCAGAGAGGACTGAACTGCACCAGGGAAGCCTGACACAACAGAGATGGATGTTAAGAATGAAGGATTAGGGGGAGGAGTAAACTGAGCAATTGTTCATAATTTGATAATAGCACCAGTTAATGAAAAGTATCAATTGACCATCTGGAACCATTTTTCAATTAATTAATGGATAACAAGCAGAAATGTAATCATGTTTGTGTGCATTTTAAATATTTTGGGATTACAGAAGAAATCAAGCAATCGAGAAGAGAAGAGAAGAGAAGAGAAGAGAAGAGAAGAGAAGAGAAGAGAAGAGAAGAGAAGAGAAGAGAAGAGAAGAGAAGAGAAGAGAAGAGAAGAGAAGAGAAGAGAAGAGAAGAGAAGAGAAGAGAAGAGAAGAGAAGAGAAGAGAAGAGAAGGCACGTCTCGTGGGACAGTTTTCCTCAGTGGGTTAGCAGTGACTGATGTGAGCTGTATAGAGGAGAGCTGGCCGTGGACAGACTGAGATTTAAGGCAACAGTGATTAAGTGGCAAGAGCAACAGGGCTTAAAGAAAGAGAGAGATGGTATATCAGCGTATCAGTATATTTAAAAAAAACACGCTCATGCAGGGGTAGATGAAGAAATGTGCTTCAGAGAGGACTGAACTTCACCAGGGAAGCCTGACACAACAGAGATGGATGTTAAGAATGAAGGAGATTAGGGGGAGGAGTAGGCAAGGACAACGGGTCTAGCTGTCCTCTAAGACCCTAATAACACAGATACAACCTGACATGTCAATATCAAATGGCCCACACATGAGAAAAGTGCACATATATGAACATAAATCACAGAAATAGAGCGGCTTTACAGGTAGACCATGATTTTGAAAAACAATACTGAAAGTCTACAACTGGCATCTTAAATCTCCTCAGTCTTCTTAAGCTTCTTAATTTCATTTTCTGAGATTTCCCACATTTCTCAGTGCTGAAATCCACTGCATCACAAGCTCGTTCACATCTCAAATGTATTCCTTTAAGAGGAGTTCATGTTTAGCCATTAATGAGTTACATTCATTTTACTGTTCGATGGTGAACACATTTTTTAATTTCTGAATTAAAATGAAAACTTTAATATAGGGACATAAAGCCTGAATATCATGACGTTACAAACCTGCTTACATAATAATAAAGAGCATTAAAATAAAAGGCTCATTAAAACGGCTAAAAGTCTTACAAATTTCTTAATATTTGAAAAATATTTGTCCCCCAAACTGAAATCAGGGTAATCAGATCAACAAGTTTCTAGAAAATATCAGATAATTTTACTAGATGGCAAGGTTAGTTCAGGTTGTCAAACTGAGCAGCCTCACTTAATTTCTATCGATCATGGTGAAAGAAACACACAGTAACAGTACAACACCAACCACCTTAATCTAAATCATTTTACTTACACACCCAGAGAATATTTAAAAACAAGTTGTCAATCAGACACAAACTTCAGTTCTACAAATGTAACTTGGATACAAACATGCATTATAACTGCAAATTCTGCTAGTAGACTTAATGACACACTCTGTCCCAAACCCGGTTTGCACAATTTTACAGAATGTCTGAGTCTAAACTCAGCATAACTCAGAGTTAAAACCCAGCTGATGGGTAATGGGAGGTGATACTTTTTATTTGATGCTTATATCACCTCAAATGTATTTATCTTTAGTGTTTATTTATCTTTAGAGTAATTAAATCTTTTCTTGAAAATAGTATAAAAATACTATAAAACATAAACCCTTTCTGGCTCCTAAATGACACTCACCTTCTCTAACTGAGCAGAGGCTCTCTATTTAGACATGCTTTTTAAAGCACAGCACGACAATGAATGCGCAGCCAAAACATTCAGAAAGCGAGAGAAGCAAAATGTATTTGCATATAATCTGAGGGATTAAACGTGCATGTCTTTTTTCAGCCACATAGCTAGATGCTCAAATCTGCACAATGAGCTTTACGGACTATGCTCCCAGACTTGATGACCCCAGAGTTCTGAAGTCAGAATAACAGCTCAGAATATCATTGAATGTTAATTTCATGACATGTACTTCTCCACTCCACACTGATAATCTGCACTACGTCCAGAAAGGATGATAACATTACTGGTATTTTCAGGAAAAATGCATAATCCATTAAAAATCTTGTTAATAACTGCACTGACTGCACTAAGTCTAGGGGGATCTCCTGTTTGTTAGAGAGTGGGCCATAATTGGCATTGATAACAGGGAGACGTCCCGCTCGGAGCACAACAAATGGTTGCGTGTGGCTCTGCATGCTGGAATTTCCCATGATGTCCTGCCCAGCCTCTTTTAATAGAAAGTAGTCAGCATCCCATACCTGGTAAGTTACAGGAAGAAACAACGGATATGGGATTGAGGATTTGGTGGCATCAGAGATCTCCTGATTGTCCAGCTCTGCAGGAGAACAAAGACACAAATGGAAAAATAGGTTAATTAGGTGTAATGTTGTCTTCATGGCATACAGTCCTGTGAACCACCAAAATGTCTCTCTGTTTATTTCCATATAACAATGGGAACCCCCAATCTCGGAAGCTAAGCAAGGTTTGGCCTGGTCAGTACTTGGATGGGAGGCTGCCTTAAATGACAGGTGCTGCAAGTCCCTGCCTTGGGCCTGAAATGCTGTGATAGACTCCAGCATCTCTGTAATCACTACATATGACAAGCAGTTTGGAGAAGGGATGGATGGATGTTTTGGATGTCTATGATGTCCATGGTTTTTCACATTTGGTTATATTTATAATGAAAAGAAAAAAAAAAACATTTGGCAGTATTAAATTAATACTTTCAACTGTATGACTTTCGTCCCATTATATCACATAAACCACCTCCAAAAAGAATTTGTACCCTTTATGACACTTAGATCAGACATTATCACACTTAGAAATGCATGTGTGTATCATGGTAACCTGTCTGGCATGAAAATATTTTGAATCTCCCAATTTAAATCTCCCCGCATGCCAAAGTCACACAACACTGCCGCTCTGCCTACACCATTGACTGTTTTGAATTTAGCCATCTTCTAATTAAGCATTTGACCTGAACATATATTCATTTTTCAACATTTTTTGTTGTAATGTTATTCACACAGCTGAGCTCATTCAGTAAAATATAAATAATTTACAGTAAATTATTTTTAATGTATACTAAATGTGACTTTAATAGAGTATATGAAATAAGATTATTTTATTCTTATAGCAGTCATGAATTCATTAAGAATTAAAAACATCATAAAAATTATCTTATCACATGTGCACAATAAAACAGTCGCTAGAGTGACATTTCCACTGCAAGACTGGGCTGCACATTAACATAAAATGCACTGTGGTTTTCTTGATCTTTCATATTTATCTCAATAAAGGTATACATTTACATTACATTTACATTTAGCAGATGCTTTTATCCAAAGCGACTTACAAATGAGGACAATAGAAGCAATCAAAACTAACAAAAGAGCAACAACATATAAGTGTAAATGACAAGTCTCGGTTAGCCTAAAACAGTACACGTAGCAAGGTATTTATATATATATATATATATATATATATATAT